GCGCTCCAGGAGCGGTGCGTCTGCAGCAGTCATGCTGCGATCGTTTCCGCACGGAATCTATTTCTGCTGTGCTGCACGTGCTGAATTAAAGGGACAGCGCATTATTCGCGGTAAAAATTAATATGGATTGACACGGAAATTTAGTAATTACACCATAAATGCTAAAAAGTCTACTGTTTCACAGTAAACAATGACTGTAAAGCATGTCTGTGTGTGTCAAAATCGTGATTAAAATCGAAATTGCAATATTGATCAAAGAAATCACAACCTTTTTTTTTTTGTCCATATCGCACAGCCCTAGCAGAGAATCAGACACGCTCGCTCTGTTCAATACGAGCACCTGAAGTCATCTAAAAAAGAAATTTCGTCAGTTCAAATTTACTTCATGGAACCTGCAATGAGTTTACTGCCTGATCAGGTACAGGTAAAAGGAATCAAACACCAGCATCACAGTCACATAAAAGCAGCAAATAACTTACTGGCCAGGAGGAGGCAGGAGAGGGCGATGACGTACAGCTGCCGCACCGCTACATCATAGTGGTCCATAAAGAGGTCGAGCAGGTAGATGGCCAGGTGACGTGCTGTAGGGCACAGCTGGTATCGGTTACTGAGAACAGCGAGCAGGTCGGCAAAGTACCGCCGCATCCCAATCTGCGGAGACTGGGCCTGGTATGTCGGCAACTTCAGCTCCTTAGGAGAAAAGGATGGTATGTTTTATTTTGTAAAATAGTATATATAATATTTGGACCATGGTACATTACAAATAATATCATGGTGTTCAGGAAGGATGCATTAAATCTATTAAAAGTGACAGTAAAGACATTCATAATGTTACAAAAGATTTCTATAATAAATGCTGTTGTTTTGAACTTTCTATTAATCAAATAATCCCGAAATGTATCATAATTTTCACAAAAGTATTAGAAACACAACTATTTTTAACACTGATAATATAAGAAATTTCTTGAGCATCAAATCAGCATATTAGAATGATTTTAGAAGAATCACGAGACACTGAAGGATATGTGATAGCTGCTGAAAGTTCAGCTTTGCCATCACAGAAATAAATTCTGTTTTAAATTATATTCAAATAGAAAATGTAACATTATATGTATTTAAAAATTATATTATATTTAAAATATTTCATCCCAATATGTTAGGGATTTAATCATTTTGACCAAATAAATGCAACCTTGATGAGAATAAGGGTCCGTTTACACGACAATGTTTTCAGCCAAAAACGGGAAACTTTATGCGTTTTGCCTGTTCGATTACACGACAACTGGGGACTGAAAAAGTGCAGGTTTTTGAAAACGGCACCGTTATCGTTTCCGTGTAAACACCCAAAACGGGAATCTTTGAAAACGGTGACGTCAGTACGTGTCGATTTTAAAGGCAAGACCGAACAAACATACACAACAATGGCGGAGTATGGTACTGTTGTTGCTGCTCAAGAGTTTGCCGACACTTCTTCAGCACTTTATATATTACAACCAACAGCGGAGATGCATCATATACAACATATAATCGTCAATTCCCTATAGGTACTGTTTACTAACAAGGTGACAACGCCAACTACTGGCCTGGCATACGTAATACAGCGTTTTTGGTAGTTTTCACGGATATGTGTAAACGAGAATCGTTTTAAAAACATTGTCGTGCATACATGAAACTTTTTTAAAACGCAAGGGAAAAACGTTTCCGTTTTTGGCTACATCGTTGTCATGTAAACGTAGCCTAAGAGTTATTAAAAATAATTGTTTTATTCTGTGATATTACCATATATAATCTATATAAAATATAGAAAAGTATATAATCTGTGAAAGATAGTAGTAAATAAACCAGAGCCGTTCTCAATTTAATCCAACACCAACTGCGCAGAAATTACAACTCAAACATACCCTGAAAAAGCTCCAGTCACGCTTAATAAGCAGCTAAATTGTCAGACTCTTTCCAGACATGAGTCCTACAGGCAGAGTGTGCTGCTTTATAGTGGCTGTTGAGGAGAGCGCTGGGTCCTTTACAGGCCTAGCCATCATGTCTCGCAGCCATCTGTCCCCTGTGGGGTGAGAGGCTGGGATTTGACCCTCTCAAGGAGCCCTTTTGTGGGGCCTGCCCGCAACTTAAACAGCCCTACAGCTGCTGCTGTATTTGAATGGCTGATCAGTTTGTCAACTGCATAACTTGATGCAAACCTTTTTCAAGAGAACAAGATTTTTCAAAACATCTATAAATAATATAGCAAGGTAAAGCTAGAGGAAATAAAACTTGCTCAGCAACCCTTTGTGGTTTTACATTTTTGTGGGTTCCACACAAGATAAAATGGGAATTGGCACTTGAACATCACACAAAAAAGAGTTAATAGACTTGCTTGAATACTGTCATTTAGCTTGCTTAAGACAAACTAATTAAAAGCAAATTAAAAGCAAGACTGCTAATTAACCTCCTCAAAGATTTCAATTAATTGCAAAGATCCTTAGGTTTCGGTACTGACGTAGTAGGAGGTGAAGTCAGCCAACCTCCCACACAAAACAAATTAAACTATAGCCTATCTGTGCAAAGATTTACATCGGCTAAACATTTCTGCACAACATTAACTGAATATTTCATGTTGGTGAACAGAGAGAGAGATTGTTCTGTCTAAAAGTCCACCAACACCAAACCTCCGATCTCCACAAACAGCTGAACCACTCTGCATCTGCACTGCATTAGTCCTCCTACATATCGCTAGATTTCGCATAGTACAACTCTGACTAACCAGGTGGTGAAGAGAATAACTTTCCAAAAAATAAGCCAAAAAAAAGTTAATGCCAGCCACATTCAGTTACATGCATCATTTTGCCACTCCTTGACACGTGCTGAATAAACCCAGCAGGATTGTCCAGTCCGTTAATCTCAAGCTAACAGACAAACTCAAGTACAAACACACACACACACACACACAAAAACAGAGCAGTTCACATTCCAAAACGGATGTGAGCACACCCCGCAATAAACAGGACGGACAATAAAGAGACAACAGAGTGCACTAAATAAATGCACTTAAACCTCACTGTCTGATGGGTGCAATTCACTCAGCAGTGAGGAAACAAAAGTTCACATGGTTTAGCAAGACACTTCCTAGAGTTCCAACACAAGTGTGTCCAGTTTCAAGAAACAAATTGACCAATAATGACATAGCAGCTGTACACTGGTTTAGACTTTTTTTTTTTTTACATAATTTGTAAGTAGTAAATATAAGAATATATATAGTAAAATAAATAAAGTAGTTACAGGATTATAATATATGTAAAATAAAAGTAAACTAAAAGTAGGCTGTACCATAGAAGACCTTAATGGCTTTGCACAGGGTCTTGGGTATTTCTAGTTGTACATGATATTCAGAATGACTCTTATGAGGGAATTGTGCTTACAATATAAATGCAGACAATACTAGACGATGTGTTGGCCAGTAACCTTCAGAAAGCCACAATCAGAGGATGTTTTCTGAGGGCTGTGTGACATTTCACACTTCCCCGTCAAAGCTTGGACAAGCCAAGCCAAACCTGGTTCAACGTGTGGCAACGGAGCCATTGGTGACCAGGAGGTTGACGTTTGGATTAAAAGTTTTAAAACTGAACTGTGATAACCTGTGATCAATGCAAAGCTATTTATTACAACTCACCTTAATTCGCAGAGCCTGATGGATGTCCGCTGCAAGCTGGCTTTTCCACCACTGGCCCTCCGATTCCATCTTTCCCATCCAGAAAAGGGCCCCAATCCTTCAACACAAACAAGAGTGTGAGAGGGAAAGAAGCCATTCTTGTTCAGTTTAAGCACTTCTGCCACACTACTTTCTATTTCAGGTTTGTTTGCGAGAAAATGTCGCAGTGCTTAAGACATAAGATAAGTGGGCGCCTGTGGGTAACTCTTTTCTAAATTTACTGATCTTGAAGTCGTCCGGCAAAGTTCAAGCAGTTCATCTCACGCTGAACTACAACAGCCGCTTCGCCGAAAATCACGACTTTTGTCTTATTTATTTGTGTAAGACTCAACTAATCACCTAAACACAATAGTCTAGCGATAAACCTTCCGTATCTTGAGGTCGCTTTATTTCTAAAAAAAATAAATTAATAAATCGGTGATGGTGATTAATAAGTCGGTGATTACCAAATGAAAGTGACCGGCGCAGCACATCGAGCCCTGCGGCACGCCACGAGACCCTTATTACAGCGATATCAAGTATACATGAGAGTTGTGAACAAATAAAGCGTAGTTTCGGTTTAAACGCGCCAATCGACCACGACTATCCAAATTAAAACAGAAGCTGAAAATGCAACATTATAGGAAACAATATAACGCTCTTTATTAAAACAACTGCGCGTCTTACCTCTGAGACAACGGCGCTCCAGACCCCTTTGTTTCAAAACTGCCGCATACTGGAGTTATATCCTTCAACTACGCGCGTGTGTACTTTTCGAAACAAATCCCATATAAAGGGAAATTATTCTCGCGAACATCAAACTCGTTTCAATGTGCAGCTGGGTGTTTTTTTTATTTTTATCAAAACACCGCCGCGTGTGTATCCAAGTGAACCCCTTTGACTTTTTCGCCGTCCCGTGTAGTGTGCTCCCCCAGCGGCCTGAGAGGAGCAGCTCTGAATGATGTTGGTGTGCGGAGCTGCATGGTCGCTCTAAACGGGGAGGAGTCCGCAGCGCGGACATTAACATGACGCTAATGCTTCAAACAATTGCGATTCGTCAACTTATTTAAAACGCTGATAAATTATAGCGCGTGTATGTACATTTTATTAGAAACCAATTATCTAAATCTACAGGTAAAATGTGGTGATAATGTGGTGGTTTGGTGAGATTACTGAGATTTAAGTTATTTTGATGTTGAGGACAGCGAGGAACAACACATTTTAAATAAATTGTTTCATAATTGAATGTAAATAAATAAATAAACAAATAAAATAATATTGCGTGAGATCTAACTACGTATTTAATCATATAAATCTGATCAATTATCCCTTTTTAAATAATTACGCATCGTAATTGGTATTGATGAAATTAATTTGTGATATTAAGAATTAGTGATTGTCACGATAATGCTGTTTGAACTTGTACAGAGGGGTCCCACGCAATACCAATGTTTTGTCATTTAAAACTAAATCCTAGTTTTGTTAAATAAATGACCAATTTTATTTTATTATATGATCTGCCTGTATTTGGCCAGCAGGTGGACCCTGCACTACTAAGCACTGTAGATACTGCTTAAAACTAACCCCGGGTTTCACAGACAAGGCTTAAGCCTAGACTAAAATGCATGTCTGGGCTGTTTTACCTGAAAGAAATTTGCATTGACATATCTTAAAATATGTCAGTGCCATTGTTTTGTCTCAAGATGCACACGAGTAATGTTATTTTCTAAGGCATGTTTATAAAATATACTTAAGTGTCCTAATTGAACTATGGCCTAAGCCCTGTCTGTAAAACCAGGCCTAATTGCAATACAGGATATGGGGAAGTTCATGTATAATCTAATAAATAGTAGCCTACTATATAGAATAGCCTACAACAATGCCTGATCAATGTGCAAAGGATCTTTAGTTTCTTATAATAGGATATGAAGTTAAAGAGTCAGAAAATCTAGTCGTTTTATTAGTAGCAGTTTAGCTAAGCTATACTTAAAGTACTACAGTATGTGGCCAATCTGAATATTAATGCCATTTTTAAAGTGTCATCCAAAATAATAAATAAAACACAAATATTTTTATACTCTATGAGAGGATGCTAATTCAATATTTACTGTATGTAACTAGTGAAATTTGGTTTACTATGGAACATTTTTGTGAGAGATGTACTTAGCCACTTCACAACCATTAAACCAGACACTTACTGTATGTTCCTTTATTTTAAGGCTTTGGAGAAGTGTCTGCTAAACGCATAAATGTAAATATAAATGAGATATGTGGAAATCTTCACTGTTATTATGTATTATGTCTCTTGTTTCTATGTTTGAAGAGTCTGTAACCATGTTTTCCGGGTGAAATGCTAATATGGAAGTTATGTTATAGGCTAATGCTTTTAACTCCCTGTAATGCTATACACTTCTCACAACTTAACACCACAGTGTCGGTGGTCCCCTCAGGTTTGATGTATGTGTTACTATGTGGATAATAAACTTTTGGAGCACCGCTGGTGTGAAATGAAGCAGTCTTATATCCTTGCTGCCCACTATATCATGTCATTAAACCATCAGGCACAGCCAAGACCAAGTGAGTCAAATGCCATAGCTGTCATGGCCTGCATGGCCATATCATGGCCAATTCAGTGAAACTCCCAGAGTTGGCTGGCAACGCACAACAAACACTTGAGAGGAAGTGCACATCTGCTCTCGAACAACTGTGTGCTTTCGAACAACAGTGCTTCCTCTCATAGTTAAGTCGCCAATTAACTATTTGATAGAACTACATTTCACATCAAAATTAACTTCACACAAACAAAGTTCAGATCAATGTACAATTAATTTAGATATAGTGATACCTTTAATGCCTACTTTAAAAAAGGACCAATTTACACCATCAAATGATACCCTCATAACCAGTGTGACCATTCTATTTGCAGTGGCCGTTTAAAGGCCCAATACTTACCACAGCGTACCCAGAAGACTTCAGCCCTATCTCCCTGATGATAGTGTTATGGGGCCTGGGGAACTATATTTAGCTGGCCCTGTGACTGCACTGGCTATGTTAGTCAGATTCAACGCTCCAGCACAGCACAGCCAGACCAGCACCTGCTGTCAAAGCTGACTGCCACACCACTACCTTAGCTACTACTGGGCCTGGACCACATATCCTGATCCAGACCTCAGCAGCCAAAAAAATAAGGTCTGATTCATCTCCTCTGCAGTCCCTAGCTTAGTGTACTTTTAAAGAAGGCACTTGCCCTCGTTTCTTTTTATAGCTATCTTGTCTGTTGACTTGTTGACACAATTCTTTGACATTTTTCCTTGATTTCTTACTCAGATTTAACACCTCAGAGGAGTTTCAACAAAAAGGAGAAGACTTCGGGTGGCTTGGATCAGGTGAGAGAAGTTTTTACATTGGGGGTGAGATGGCGTCAAGCACAAGATCTGCAGCTGGCTATCTAGAAAGCATAGTATTTCCTTTGACAAACACTGTTAAGTCAAACACAATGGAAAAAATGAGCCCGTTTCATCCCAAATCAAATGCATGAGACTCCAATCAGTATTTTTTAACATGATGCTGCTACCAATTAAGTGTTTAAAATTTTTTTGTAATACACAAATTATTTTTAGATTTACAGTGTGCATGCATATGGCTTTGCTTTGTAATTTTAATCATCTAAAAATACAACCCTTTATTCGTTTTATTTTTCTTAGACAATAATTCAGAAAAAGCAGTCAAACTGGACATCACTGGGCTTGATGTAACATCTAATTTTCTGAACCATAAACATTTCTGTACTTCCATTCTTCCAATATAGGTCTGACCTGCACACCCACCCCACACTAGTGTGTAAAACGTCCAGTACTGCATCTGAAATTTTCAGACACCACAGAAGGAAATTTTTGAAGTGGCATTTTAAAGAGAAATGTCTAAATCATCTGCATCTATCAAAGAAAAAAACAGTCTGCCTCTCCAACAAAGAGATGAAGGGGAAAGTGAGCTAGAGCAGACTGATGATATCACGGATGACTCAGCAAGTTCATACTACACTGCTCTTTGTTCTCTGAGTGAGTACAGTGAAGCTTTAGGGGACAGAACACACACTCCCTCTACAGACCGTCCTGCTGAAGGTGGCACATTTGAGTTCTTAGGTTGTGCTACTACTACGGAAGGCATCACTTCAAGATCATTGATCACAGACACCACACTATCACAAGACTACAAAACACAAGAAGAGAAGGGTACAGAAGTGCTCCCTGATGTGTCCCAATGTGAACAGGATGAATCTTCATCATCTGAGAGTGTGTTAGAATCTGAGTCAAAACATCTGCTGTCAGGTACAACAGCAGCAAATGTGGATTTGCAGTCTGTTAAGGCAGCCTTTAGAAACCCTGTGCAAAAGCCGGATAATTCTAACAAGCTTAATTTATCAGAAAAAGATTTGTCGGTTAAACCGAGGGATTATTTTGGAGGCAGCGGGACTGTATTTCATACTAACATTAGAACCGCTGAGGAGCACAGCTCCCCAGAACCCATATTCACTTCAAACACTATTTTGATAACACCTAGGAGAAATCAATACAGCAAGGGTAGGGAACAGGAGCATGGTAGCACAGAGCCAAAAGAGGACCACGTGACACAAAAGCAAAGACCCAAGGAATGTTTGAGTGCACCCAGAGCAGAATGCAGGCTTGAGAGAGGTGGGCAAATTCTGGGTCATATGAAAAAGGAGGGGGAGGGGGAGGGCCAGGGTAGCGGGGTGAGTTGCAGAATGGAGCAGGTTGAGCTGTCAGTCAGGTCTAGAAATAGAAAAGCGTCTGCAAACTGCATCTCAACACTCACAGCCAGCAAGCAGGAGTCAAGAATCCCACCGCACTGTTATTCCGAGCGTATCCCCGCAACCAGGCACCAACACCAGCTACAGAGACTCGCTGATACTCGGACTTTGGAAAAGCAGAGCCGGCAAGGCGTCTGGCAGTCCAGACCACTCTACTGCACGTTGTGTAGCAGCACTTGGCAACCCTGCCACACTACAGGCAATAGCAGAGGATCAACCAGCATGGGAACAAAGCTTGCTGAGGCCAGCAGTAAGGTGGGGGGCCTTGTTAACCTGGCCCAGGTAAGAGCTTCCTGTTCTGAAACTGACTACATGCATGTTTTCAGCTGTAGGCCCTCAAGTCAGCCCTCTGCTGATGAAAACCACAACAATTGGACAGATGATGTTCTCTCTTTTAAAATGCAGATGTATTCAAACACTCAAAACACATCTGCTTGCTCAGAATCCAGTAGCTTTGAGTGTGTTGATGTGGCATTGGAAACCACAGATGAAGTAAACCGAGGCTTAAAGACTGTGCCCAAAAGACAAATCCAACTGAAGAGACGGGACACAACAGAGGCACATGCCAGAGAGAGCAACAATCAAAGTCTTCAGGTTGCAAACACACCTGTGCGTGCCCGGGACATATTTCAGCGTCAACATAGCACCCCTGCAGCTTTTAACCAGGAGTCCCATGTGGCTGATCAAAGGTCAGTACAGGCTGACCGAAAACAAAGGCTTCAGAAGTCATTTTCCCTGGATGAAACCTCCAGCAAAACCCAGATGGCTTCCTGCATCATAACAAATGTCCTATCAAAAAAAATGCAACATGAACAGAATCTTCGCACCTTGGATGTTTCTGATAAAGCTTTTGCTTCTGTCAAAGTGAACAACAGGACTACTACCACTGATGAATGCATCTATTTGTCTGGCAAGGACGTATTTGCTGAAACTACTAAACTAACTCAAAGTGCTACTCTTAAGAGGGAGGCCCAGGGAGAGTGCAGCCCTGTTCAAAAGCATTGCAGTGTTAACTCTAAAATGCAGCTCAAGCTGCTGAGCAAACATGGCTTCAATCCTCTTTTAAGTGCAATTGGCAGGTCTGAAGTTCAAGGCAGTGGCACTGAAATAACCGACCCTTCAGAGAATGAGAAAGCAGAGAAGTTGAGTCCAAGAGAG